GAATATGTATATATGTACCATATATATAAGTTTGGAATGCTGAGAGTTAATTTTATATATACATACATATACATACGTACATACATTACAACATAATTATATGTTATACATATACACACATAGAGATTAAAAATAGGAAGGAAAAAGAGAGAAAGATAAAGCAAACATAGTTAAATCTGGTTGAAATGTATTCAGGGATTTCCTGTCTATTCCTGCAACTCTTGTAAATCTGAAATTACGTCAAAATGTTAAGTATGTAATTATCTATTGATCTTCTAGTCTACCAGACACACTAAAGGGAATGTATATACAAATAATTTTAGCATTCTTCTTCTTCACCAAAGGCAAGAAACATTTCAAACGTTAAGACAAAAAACCAATACAAAAAGAGGTTGACTTTTCTGATGTCAAACTAAAGGGGCCAACTGTCCCAATTTGCCCAAAAATGTCTGGTTTTAGCAATGAAAAGTTCCACATCTTTGGAAATTCCTTAGTCCTGGGTAAACTAGAATAGCTGTTCACCCTTTCTCAAACAATTTTCTGGACAATTAAAATTTTAATTTAAACAGTAATCTTTTCAGTTTTTATGTAGAAAAAGACTATGTTCTTTCTTCCATCCATTTTGGTTGGTGCCTCTCAACTATTCTTTTCAAGTTGTCTAAGCATTCATTCAAACACAGTTGACTGTGTTACAAGTTGATATACTTTTCTGGAGCAATCTGCCAAGATATACTGAGAAATTTAAAAAACTGTTCATAAATCTTAAGAATAGTTCTATTCCTGGGAGTTAATCCCAGGGAAATCATTATAGATTGCCCAAAAATGTGCGGAGAAATGGATAGTCATCATAGTGTCATTACAGTAAAATACTGGAATTTACCCAAAATGTCTAAATCTGGAGAAATGGATATATAAATTATGCTACAGCCATATAACTGCATGTTAGGTAGCCATTTTAAAAATCATGTTTTTGAAGAATGATATTTAAAAAGTTTGTGAAATATTGTTAAATTTTTAAAAAGTATTTCATCAACATACAAAGTCATTTATACAGCATGAAGCCATTTTTAAAAATACATAAATATGACCGGCCTGATGCAGTGGCTCACGCCTGTAATCCCAGCACTTTGGGAGGCTGAGGTGGGCGAATCATGAGGTCAGGAGTTCAAGATCAGCCTGGCCAAATGGTGAAACCCCGTCTCTACAAAAAATACAAAAATTAGCCAGGTGTGGTGGCAGGCACCTGTAAACCCAGTTACTTGGGAGGCTGAGGCAAAGAATTGCTTGAACCCGGGAGGCGGAGGTTGCAGTGAGCCGAGGTAGTGCCACTGCACTCCAGCCTGGGTGACAGAGCAAGACTCTGTCTCAAAAATAAATAAATAAATAAATAAATATGAATATATGTATATGTGTGAATTTAAAATGAGACAATACATTGTTTACATACTGTATGCTATATGTGAATATACTATATATACAAACTGCATACTATTCCAAATTAACATAATACAATGCATAACCTGAGAATCTACCTCTGAGCAGTAAAATTATAGGTGAATTCTAATTTATTCTTTCAATGTATCTGTATTTCTAATTTTCAATAATGAATCCTATTTTATACTTTGAAAAAAAGTATAATTTTTAAAAGACTTCTAATTTTATGCAGTGTGATTATAAACAAGAAATAAATTGCTACAAGCTTTCCAAGAAATCAAGTTCATTATTTTATAGTGACATTTATACAAAAAACCCAAGATAGTAAGACTATACATGCAAACATAATGGGGAATAAAAGTTAAAAGTACAATAGACTGATGCAGAATTTGTTGAACCATACATCTCATATAGAGTAGGTTCTATTACCTCCCAGCTATCCGGCTCCAAGAATTCTTTTTTTTCTGTGGCTTTCAAAAACTCCTCCAGAGTCACCAATCTGTCTTTGTTAGTATCAACCTGATTAAAAGAAAATGTATACATAATACAAAGTAAATCTTTCTCATATTATTTAGACACTATCAACTGTCTTGTAATAGATGCCACTACATAAACATACAGAAATTAGGACTCACCTAACATCCACAGAAACTGGAGGAAAAAAAATAACAGAGCACTCAACATTATACTAGAATTACAAAATAAATATCTTTCTCTTCTATATAATTCAAATTGGAAAATATGAGATATCTATATACCTAATGCCCCTAAAACCACTAAGTTTCAGTCAGCTGATCTGAGTGGTTGACTGGTATCGTCTTCGTACTTTACCATAATATGTATAATCCCTCTTGAAGCCAAGTGCTTCAGTAAGAAAAAGAACCATTCTAGAAAGAGGACAGTTTTAGCCAAGAGTAAAGGAGGTTAAACTAAAATGCTCTCAACACTTTTTCTTAAAAAAACACAATTACCTAAATCAAAACTAAAGCTGACAACCTCTCCAAATCCTCTTGCATAGCTGTTACAGCCTGTGGCAAATTTCGTTACAAAGGTGTACTGTATAATGGTCAAAGAAATTCACTTGATAGTTGGGATGTCAGCAGTCAACAGACATCCCAATTTAGCATTGACAGGTCAAAAATTCAGATGAAAGTTACTGAAGCAAAATAGTGGGATTCAGTTACCCTCCATATGATGCCTATATCAGAGTTTTTGGCTTAGAGGGAGGAGAGGCAGAGCAAGAACTACAGAGAAAGGCAAATATTTAAATGAGGGTAGCCATTAGATGGACCATGGACATCTAAGCACAGACTCAGTGGAAGTAAGACCTTGTGATGATCTAAAAAGGAGTATTCCAGAAAAAAGAAATATTAAGTCCAAATGCTCTAAAATGGGAACAAGCTTGATGAGAGGTAAACATCAGAAGGCCGGTGTGGCCAGAAGAGAGAGAGTCACAGAGCGCAAGGCAAGGATGAAGTCACAAATCTTTCGGAAATAGGAGGGATTTGGGATCATATTATAAGGGAAATTGCAAGCCATTGAAGTATTCCTATGCAAGAGAGCACATGACCTGATTTATGCTTTTAAGAGCTTACTCTGCCTACTTATGAAGAAGAGTCTGCAGTGGGGTAAGGAACAGAAGCAGAGATGCCAGTTAGGAGACTTGCTTGGACTTGATTGGTATTAAATAGTAGTGGAAGTGGGGGGAAGTGGTCAAATTCTGGATCTGTTTGAAAGATAGATCAAATAGAACTTATAGAGGAAATGCAGGATATGAGGAAAGAAGTTAAGGATGACTTAGCCTGAGCAACTAGATGAATTATGATTAATTTGTTGAAATGAAAAAGGCTGAGGAAGGAACAGATCTGGGTTTGAAGAAGATGTGAGTTAAACACAAGGAGAACTGTCAAGCAGATACAACCCTGGAACTCAGAGAAAGGAGACAGCTGAAGATAAAATAATTGAACTCACCAGCATACATGCAGATATAGAGCATATATAGAGACATGGGACTCCACACTACCACCTAAGGAGAGAATGAAGCTAGAAAGAAGAACATGGCCAAGGGACAGGAGCAGGGCAATGCAACATGTAGAACTTGGAAACAGGAAGAAGAGCCAGCAAAGAAGAGAGAGTGGGGTATGAAGAAATTGAGGAGGTGTGGTTTCCCAAAAGTGAAGAAACCATTTCAAGAAAGAGGGAGGCATCAACTGTATCAAATGTTGCCAAGGGGTCAAGTAAGATGAGACCACTGGACTTGACAAGATAGAGGTCATCCAATGGGAGGATTTTTAAATGGAATGATTGAGGCTACAGCACAGATTAAGACGAAAAGGAAAGGTGAAGAATTAACAGGAAGAAGAAGAATAGACAACTCTTTGAAGAGAAACAGAGAAATGAGGCAGTAACCAGAGGTTGTTTTTTGTTTTTGTTTTTCAGTACTGAAAAAAGGGTTTGGTTTGGTTTGGTGTGGTGTGGTGTGGTTTGGTTTGGTTTTGAGATGAAGTCTTGCTGTGTAACCCAGGCTAGAGTACAGTGGTGTAATCTTGGCTCACCGCAAACTCTGCCTGCTGGGTCCAAGAGATTCTCATGCTTCAGCCTCCTAAGTAGCTGGGATTATAGGTATACAGCACCACACCCGGCTAATCTTTGTATTTTTAGTAGACACGGGGTTTCACCATGTTTGCCAGGCTGGTCTCGAGCTTCTGACCTCAAGTGATCCACTTGCCATGGCCTCCCAAAGTCTTGGGATTACAGGCATGAGCTATCATGCCCAGCCCCCCAAAAAAAGGTTTTATACCTGATATGCAGTAACATCTTTATCTTTTAGAATATTTTAAAGTAGTTGCAAATTATTTTATTCATACTAAAGGCATCTAGTATAATAATCTGGATCAAAAATGCAAACTTGCCTGGACAACATAGCAAGACCTTGTGTCTCCAAAAATTAAAAAGTTAGCTGGCAGCCTGGGCAACATGGCAAAAGACATACCATCTCTTAAAAAAAAAAAAAAAAAAAATTTCGACCTGGTGTGGGGGCTCATGCCTGTAACCCCAGCCAGCACTTTGGGAGGGCGAGGTGGGTGGACCACTTGAGGTCAGGAGTTCAGGACCAGCCTGGCAAACATAGTGAAACCCCATCTCTACTAAAAATACAAAAATCAGCCAGGTGTGGTAGTGCATGCCTGCAATCCCAGCTACTCAGGAGGCTGAGGCAAGAGAATCACTTGAACTTGGGAGGCGGAGGTTGCAGTGAGCAAAGATCGCACCACGGCACTCCAGCCTAGGTGAAAGAGTGAGACTGTGTCTCAAAAACAAACAAAAAAGGCTGGTGGCTCACACCTGTAATCCCATCTATAATCCGAGCACTTTGGGAGGCCAAGGTGGATGGATCACCTGAGGTCAGGAGTTCAAGAGCAGCCTGGCCAACATGGGGAAACCCTGTCTCTACTAAAAATAAAAAATAAAAAACAGGTGTGGTGGTGGGTGCCTGTAATCCCTGCTACTCAGGAAGCTGAGGCAGGAGAATCACTTGAATCTGGGAGGTGGAGGTTGCAGTAAGCCGAGATCATGCCACTGCACTCCAATGTGGGTGACAGAGTGAGACTCCATCTCAAAAAAAAAAAAAAAAAAATTAGCTAGGCATGGTGGCTCCAGCTGGTGGTCCCTCCTCAGTCTCAGGAGGCTGAGACAGTAGGATTGCTTCAGCCCAGGAGGTTGAGGCTGCAGTGAGCCATGATTGCACCACTGCACTCTAGCCTGGGCAACAGAGCAAGACTCTGTCTCAAAAAACAAAAAACAAAAAACAAAAAACAAAAAAAACGCAAACTCCATTTAAATATAAATTCTGTATATTTTCTATCTTAAAGTAAGATTTATTGCAAGAATTAAATAATATATAGAAATAATATATTATCTTAAACTTTTAAAACATACCTCATTCATTACATGTTCCCTCATTCTAAGCCTTTCTTCTTCCATTTCTACCATATCATCCTCTTCATTTTTAGGGTCATATACTTTCTCCAACTAAAAAGAAAAATTTCAAATGAACATGAAAGGAAAGAAAGTAACAAGAAAAAAAAGAAAGAGAACAAGAACATTGAATACTTAATAAACTCATTTACCTCTTTAGTAAATAGGGCTTCTAATTCTTGTTCATCCAGGAATCCATCACTATTAACATCTAAAGTTTAAAAGTTACAAATGCAAAAATAGATTTTAATACCTTAGAAAATAATTAAAATACAATGATTTATAAAAGGTTTACAAAAGTAGTACTGATGTGAGCATCAATAGACTGCAGAAAAGCATTTCTTTTTTTTCATGAAGCTTTAGATCAGCTCAACTGATAAATATGCTATATTTATTTGTAACTCATAATTATTTGTGAGGAAAGCATATCTTGACTATTTTTTCCAAAAATATAAAGTAAAGCAATATTCTATGAGAGTAGAAGTAAAATGTAATATTATAGTATAAAGCCTATCAGATATAACCTAGCTAGTCACAGTATACAGTTTTCAGTTTACAGAGAACTCTGCAATAATTCATATGACTCAACAGTAAAAGCCAGTATAAAGACACAGCTACTGATCTAAAATTTTATACTGCAGGTGAGCAACAAAGACTATCATATTACCCTAGAAAAACTCTAATCATTTACTCTCACTAGATAACTCAATAGCAGACTTTGGCAGAAATCAATTAAGAGGAAAGCAAATATTTTTTTCAAACAGCAGATATAAATATTAATATTTGTATCAAATTGTTACCATGTAATTTGAAAAATGTCTTGGGGTCAAAGTCATTAGGATCCAATCCATCAGTCTCTTCCCATACCTCTTTTAGTTGATCTTTGCTTCCCTGTGAACCAATTTAAAAAAAAATTGCTCAAAACAAAATATAATCTATCTGTATAGACTCAAAATATAAATTTGAGGAACTTTGCATAAGAATCAAGATTTCAGTACTAATAACACGATAAAATTCCGCTGATACAAAGAAGTATCTTTATCTAAAAATGGTTTCATAAAGTCACAATCCTTACTGGATGATTAACTTTAGGGTGATTTTCATGCTTTTTCTTCATTTCTTCAAATTTAGACTCTTCTTCTTTTCTCTTTTCTTCATTCAATGTTTTTAAATATTCTCTCCTTTCATGTTCCTTCATCATTTCATATTTTTTAAATTCTTCATGTCGAGTCTTGTCATAGTGTTCCAGATCACTTGTTGCCTGAAATGCAATAATGCATTTAAGTTAAATAAAAACATGCATTTGAAAAACGTAAATAAAGCCATTCTTGAATATAGCATACTCTTGAACAGATGTGGTACAGGAAAGCAAAAACATACTGGATTCCTCTTTTTTAATTCTACCATTTAATTTTAGTCAAGTTTTTTCTTTTTTTTTTTTGTTTTTTGAGACAGAGTTTCACCCGTCACCCAGGCTGAAGCGCAGTGGCATGATTTCAGCTCACTGCCACCTCCGCCTCCTGGTTCAAGTAATTATCCCACCTCAGCCTCCTGAGGCCTCTTGAGTAGCTGGGATTACAGGCACTTGCCACCACCCCCGGCTAATTTTTGTATTTTAAGTAGAGACAGGGTTTCACCATGTTGGCCAGGCTGGTCTTGAACTGCTGACCTTGGGTGATCCACCCACCTCAGCCTCCCAGTGTTGGGATTACAGGCGTGAGCCACCATGCCCAGCAATTTTCGTCATTATTATTACCAGAGATGTAGGTATTCAAATAAACTAAAAGTTCAAAGCTAGCCCCAACTTTAAGAAACTCATCATAAGCAACTAGTATATAAGTTGATTTCAGAAAAAAAAGAAGAAAGGAACTATATCAAATCTAGACAGTATAGAAAACTAAAATAGCTTCTAACCATTGAACTAATCTAATACTTGCCAGGTTAGAACTAATTCCATTCACATATAATGTGAGAGGTCCACAAACTCTTATCTAAAATCTCTGAGGCCAGATGTGCTTCAGAATTTTCTACCTTAAAGAAAGGGAATATGGCACATATGCCATATTATGGAATATCCCTGTAGCATCTGTAATCAAACAGACTAGTATTTCTTAAGCAAAATCTATAAATACTCACACTAAGTAGGTTAAATAAAAACTGTAAATAGTATTACTGTAGTTGGTTTATTCAGGTCAGGTTTCAGTTTTTACAACTTTTGGATTTAGGAATTGTGGATAAGGGATTTTAGACCTGTATGTACATATTAATATCTGTATTAATAAGGGTTAATCTACCTTCCTTTAAAGATCTTCAACAGAATATATAAAAGTTATATTTCCATTTCATTGGGTTTACTTGTCAAATTACAAAACCTCAAAGGCACAATAAAGACAAAACTTTTTGGAATTATTCTCACCGCTTTGATTAGCATATCTAAATCTGTGGATTCAAACTTGTCAGGATTCAGGTGGTTTAGGTGATCAAATTGTTTTAGAAGAGCTTGGTGGTCCATGCCTATATCTGAAAGAAAATGAGAAAACTGTAAATGATCAATTTCTAGAAGCTAGAAAAATTATAATAATTATACATAAGAAAAAGATTTCATATTTATTCCTACAGGATTTTATAAGGAAATACAAAGTTTTAGAATAAAGGCTTATATTTACTTTATGAATACTGCATATGTTATTCTAGTCAAAGGTAGTGTCCTTGAACCTAGAGTGGAATACAATTTAATATGTGTATTTTTAAAAATTCTCTCTCCTTATTTTTTTTAATTTATTTTTTTTGAGACATGGTCCCGCTCTGTCACCCAAGCTGGAGGGCAATGGTGCAATCATAGATCACTGCATCCTGGACCTCCTGGGCTCAAGCAATCCTCCCACCTCAGCTTCCCAAGTAGCTAGGACAACAGGTGTGCACCACTATGCCTGGCTAATTTCTTGTTTTTAATTTTTGGTAGAGACGGGGTCTCACTATATTTCCCAGGCTGGTCTTGAATTTCTGGCCTCAAGTGATCCTCCCACCTCAGCCTCTCAAAGTCCTGGGATTACCATGCCTGGCCTTATGCTTTATTTATTTATTTATTTATTTATTTATTTATTTATGATGGAGTCTTGTTCTGTCGCCCAGGCTAGAGTGCAGTGGCAAAATCTCTGCTCACTGCAAGCTCCGCCTCCCGGGTTCATGCCATTCTCCTGCCTCAGCCTCCTGAGCAGCTGGGACTACAGGCACCTGCCACCAGCCCGGGTAATTTTTTGTATTTTCAGTAGAGACAGGGTTTCACCATGTTAGCCAGGATGGTCTTGATCTCCTGACTATGTGATCCGCCTGCCTCGGCCTCCCAAAATGCTGGGATTACAGGCGTGAGGCACCGCGCCCGGCCTTGCATATTTTAATGTTATATCTAAAACAACTACTTGACTATCAGCATAGTTAATAACAAACCCTTTTTAATTATCTTAAAACTACTAAATATCCTGCTTTTAATTAGATAAACTCTAATACAGTGTCCTTATCAAAGTTTTAAGGAGAATTTCTAAAAATAATTGCTCTAAAGCTTACATGAAAGAATTCCTCGTATATTGCCCCAATGGATCCCTTATGAAACAAAAAAAATCTAATTTAGGTAAACTCCTTTTAATTATGACTTATTTTTAAGGAAATATCAATTTTTTTAACTTTTAAAAAACAAGTTACAATTTACTACAGTGAAATGGGTGAAGTGATGCTGGATTGTTTCAGTTGTATTACATAGTGGACACATGTAATGGATACACAATGGATATACATACAAGACAGCTCACCAGAAACAACACAATATGAGCCCTTATAGAATTGAGCAAAATGGGTACATTGTCGAAGTTGTTGGAAATCAGCTCTCACTTAGGAAAAAGGAATATACAAATATGGAATGGTGAAAAGCAAGAAAGAAATTGGTAGATATGAATGGGAATTAGCATTATCTGTGTGAACTCAGCATTTCTAAAATATGTACATTTAGCATGTATATGCACGTTTCACATGTATATGAATATGTATGTGTGTATATATGTGTATATGTATATAGACATGCATGTTTCCTAGCTCTGTGCAATTAAGGTGCCAAGAAAATACACTCCAGTAGCAAGGAGCGTACCTAGTGCCAGCTCTTGATCTAAAATATAGTTGCCTATTAAGAAAAACCAGTGCTCCTCAGAGAAATGGCTCATTCCACAGCTGGGGCAGGGTAGGTACAAGTTGATTCTGGAACATGTTGTTATGCCAGAAAGTGAAGAACTGCTAAATCTGGTTCAACCAAGTTTTCACTGAATTCTAAGTATGGCACTGTACTAGCAGTTCTACTTATGAAGAAAATACTTGTTTTTAAGACTTAGCCCTAAAAAAATATGACCAGACAGTGAAATATATAAAAAGACCCTTAACCTCACTCAAAATAAGATAAATACATATTAAAACTGCACTGTTATACTATCTAACAGAATGGAAAACTCCTAAAGTTTGATGACATATGCCATTAGTAACGTTGTGAGGAATTACTGCTGGTGGATATGTGTATTGATACAACCTCTATGGAGGCAAATGTGGCAATATCTATCAAAATTACCAAAAATATATAATTTTGATTTGGCAATTCCACTTGGGGGAAATTTCCTACAGATAAATCTTATATGGATACACAGTGACATATATACAAGATAGTTCGTAGAAATAACTAAATGTCAATTGACAGGGGCCTGGCTAAAATAAATTATAGTATATCCCATATAATGGAGTTCTATGCAGCTGTAAAAAAAAAAAAAAAAAGAGAGAGAGAGAGAAAGTGGTTCTACGTAACTAATACAGAAGATATTCACAAAATATATTATAAAGAAAACAATGTACAAAAATGGGTATTCCTTTTGCCTAAAAGAGAGGGCACATAAAATATTTTTTGTATTTGCTTACATACAAATAAAGAAACTCAAGAATCAGGCACAGGCGCTCAGGCGTGGTCGCTATAATTCCAAGCACTTTGGGAGGCTGAGGGCAGGGAGGATCACCTTGAGGGACCAGGAACAGGGTTCAAGACAGCGCCTGGACATAACAGCAAAAACTATTCAAGTAACTTAAAAATAAGTAAAATAGATAAACCAAGAGCCGTGGCATGTTATGGGGCATATGGGGAAGAACAGACACAAAGTATCAGTAGATTTTTGCGTCTATATTTTCTAATTTGAACCCGTGAATAAGCCGGCATGATAGCTCATGCGTAAACCCAGCACTTTCAGAGCCCGGCAGGTGGACCTGGATCCCAGGGAGTTCAGGGACCTGAGCAACACAGCCAGACTCCACTCAATAAAAAGAAAAAAAAAAAAACGCCTACTTTAAAAATTACCCACTTCACTAAAATTAAGACTATGTGAAGCCTCCTCAAGAGTATTAGAATATTTCAATTCATATGACAATGAGAAATATTCCTTAGTTTTAAGTTACATTCAGACTGTTTTCTTCTTTTTTTTTTTTTTTGAGAAGAGTCTCACTCTTGTCACCAGGCTGGGTTGCATAGCGGATTTGTCACTGAACTCTGTTTCAGGTTCCAGTGTGTCTCCTGGCTCAAGTCCTGAGAGCTGAGGTATAGGCATGGCTACAGCCCAGTATTTGGATTTGTAGAGACAGGTTCGCCCATGTTCCAGACTGTCTTGATCGGGCTCAGATGATCACCCACTCAGCATTAAAGTGCTGGGATTATAGGCATGAGACACCATGCCCAGCCTAGACTGTTTTCTTTATGCAATGAAATTCAGTACCCATCTTGGAATGAAGAGGATACTGTTAAGACTGAGGGGATGGAAGTTGTCCCGGGGATAGAAATCTCCACACATCTTAGGCCTGGCTTCAAGTATGGAATTACCTTGCATGCCTAAGTACCCCAAGTAGCATGGCATGATTCAATTTACTTCTCATTGATATCCTTAATTTCAGGATGATGAGTATTTGGTATTTGTTTTCTAAGATTATATGTTTAAAACGTAGATTACTATACTCTTTCCCAGAGCCAGAATCTCTAGAGGTGAGATCTAGCAATCTATATTTCTAAAAAGATTTCTCGGAGATTCTGGTGCACTGCAATCGCGAAGTTTTTAGCACACTACCATCTCCAAGAGTTAAATGTCAAACTGCCTCTTCACTGTAATGACACACAGAACCACCCAATAACAACCTATGGGAGGATATCACAAGCCATTGCCATCGAACTACAGCTTGAACCGATACTCCCATCCTAAAATCTACCTCGCCTTGATTTTCCCCTCATAATCGAGAAAGTTCATTCCAAGGTACAATACAGGAAATTCACCTATGCCTGTCACATAGTTACTTTTATGATTCTTATTTTTCTACACACTTTAAATCTCTTTAAGTCATTACACACTTATGTCCGATAAAGCAGTATCCAAGAGATATCGGCGCTTTTAACTAATACCTCTTTGCCAAATGGCCAACACGTTATACCACCGCACTACGCCTAGCGTTAAAAATTTGTTGGTGTGGTGGGCTTACACCTATAATTCTGGCACTTAGGCCAGGCCAAGCAACGGGAGACATTTGAGCGCCGGAGTTTTTCCCTCCAAAGCAGCCTGGAGAACACACGTGCAGACCCTGTCCTCGTACACCAAAAAATTAATTAAAAAAATAAATTGCCATGGCATTGTGGCACACCTCCTCACGTAGTCATAGCTACTCAGGAGGCTGAAGTTGTGAGATCTCTTGCGAGCCTCAGGAGTCTGAGGGTCCAATGAGCCCTATGATCGCACCACTGTACTCCACCCTGGGCCAAGAGTGAGACCTGTCTAAAAAAAATAAATCAATACATCAATAAAAATACAAAAATCTATATCCAACCCTAATACATAAAATACCCACTTTTTATAGTAAACTAAATTAAGCACTTTGTGTATTTAACTGTCTACTCTGCCACCTCTCTGGCAATGGTCCTATTGATTTCACCTGATCATTCACCTTTTCTGCCTAAGCCATACAGTTCTTAATGACTGAGGCTTAGTGACATAAATTTAATATTTAAATATTAAAAAGACGTTTAATAGATATAAAGATGTCGATTTCCTAATATCTAAGTCCCGTCATCACTGTTCTTTTTCAGAAGTATCCTAAAGTTTTCTTAAGCCTGTGTCCTTTCCTTTTTTTTAGACAAGAGTGCTCACTCTGTCACCCAAGGCATGGACGTCGCAATACGCGTGATCTTGGTTTCACAACTGCAACCCTCCTGCTCTCCAGGTTCAAGTGATTCTCTCTGCCGTCTCAGCCCTCCACTGCAGCAGCTGGGATGATAGGCATGTCGATACCATCGCCAGTCTACATTTTTTTGCGTAATTTTTAGTAGACAGACACGGGTTTCGGCCATGTTGGCCAGACTGCTTAAACTCCTGACCAGTCAGACTGATCCGCCCCCACCTGGCTCCAAACAAAGCTGCTGGGATTACAACAGGCTGAGCCACCATTGCCTAGCCTACCAATTCCCT